TTGCTGAAAAAAACCTGGGAAGCATTATCCTTCAAAACACAACAACAAATCTAGAGGCATCACACTCCCTGATTTCAAAACAATTTGGTACTGACATAAAAACAGACATATCAACAAATGGAACAAAACAGAAATCTCAGAAATAAACCCCAATATAGTATTTATGGTCGATAGATTTTTCACAAAGGTAACAAGAATACATGATGGAGAAACAGCAATCTATGCAACAGATGGCTTGGAAAAACAGAATATCTTCAAGTAGGATAAAATTAGACCTTTCTGTCACACCATATGTGAAAGTCAACTCAAAGTGTGAAAAAAAAGATTTACACCTAAGATCTGGAACCATAAAGTACTGGAAGTAAACATAAGGGGAATGTTCTACAATGCTGGTCTGAGCAATGATTTCTTGGCTAGAACACTCAGAGCACAGGCAACAAAAGCAAAAATAGACAGATGAGTTTGCCTCAAACTAGAAAGCTTCTGCAAAGCAAAAAAATAATTAACAGAGTAAAGAGACAACTTATCAATTAGGACAAAATATTTGCAAATCATACATCTAATAAGGGGCTAATATCCAAAATATATAAGTAACTCACACAACTAAATAGCAAGAAAATAAATAACCTGATTTTAAAAATGAGCAAAGGATTTGAACAGACATATCACATAAACACACACATAAGAAGAAGACAGAAAACTGCCCAACAGACATATGAAAAAGTCTTCAAAATCTCTAATCATCAAATTAAAACCATAACAAGATATCATCTCAAATTTGCTAAAATGTCTAATATCAAAAAGATGAATGATAACAAGAATGTGAAGAAAAGAAAAGCCTTGGACATTATTGTAGGGAAAGTAAATTACTACAGCCATTCTGGAAAATAGCACTGAGGTTCCTCAAAACACTAAAAACAGAATTACCATATGATCCAGAAATCCCACTGCTGAATGTATAAGGGCTGTCCAGAAAGCATCCTGCCATGCATATCTCTATTTTTCATATCACATGACTGGATACCTTCTGAACAGCCCTCATACATTCAAAGGAAATGAAACCAGTATCTCAAAGAGGCATAGGTACTCCATGTTCATTGCTGCACTATTCACAAAAGGCAAGATATCCGTATGAATGGACAGATAAAGAAAATGTGGTGTGTATATAACACACACACACACAAAAAAAATGGAATACAAATACAGCCTTAAAAAAGAAAACTCTGTCATTTACAATAACATGGATAGAACTAGAGAACATCACCCTAAGTGAAATAAGGCAGACACAGAAAGACAAATACTCCCAATTTTAGCCCAGGAATATGGGGAGAGGAGAGAGGGAGGGGAGAGGGAAGGGGAGGGGTGGGGGAAGGGTGGGTGGAGGGAAGGTGATTGCTGGGATCACGCCTATGGTTCATCCTATAAGGGTATGTGTGAATCTTTCTAAATGTAGAGTATAAATGTCTTAACACAATAACTAAGAAAAGACATGAAGGCTATGTTAACCAGTTGGATGAAAGTATTTCAAATTGTATATAGAAACAGTACACTGTACCCCATGATAGTATTAATGTATACTGTTATGATTTAATAAAAACTAAAAAAAAAAAAAGAAAGACAAATACTGTCTGATCTCACATATATGTGGATCTAAACAAGTCAATCTCATAGAAATTAATAGTAGAAAGGTGGTTAATGGAGAATTGGGGTGAGAAAAGGACAGGAAAAGGAAAGATTTTGATCAAAGTATACAACATTTCAATTAGAGTTTAGGAGAAAGTTTTAGTGATCTATTACGCTGCATAGTGACCACCATTAATAATAATAATAAAGTATGGTGCATTTCAAAATTTCCAAAAGAATAAAATTTTAATGTTCTCACAGCCAAAAAAATTAAATCTGACCAAAAATAAGGTGATGGGTATGTTAATTAGCTTGAGTGACTCTTTCTATGATGTATACATAGATCAAAACATCACATTATACCCCACAAATATACACAATTATTATTTGCTAATTAAAAACATATAAATAAATTTTTTTAAAGGATAAACAATGCTTCTTAAATTTATGATACAGTTTTATTATCCCAAGTTAAGGAGCTACTGGAAATAACTAACCACATTCGTGAACTATTATCTGAAAGAAAGTCTACAAATTCATATGAAGCCATCATTCTGACAAGGTATTACACAATTTTTGAAGAGGTAACTTAAAATCTAATTTGTAGCATGTTTTTTAATGAAGCATCTCCAAATTTGATTATTCATCCCCTCATTTTGAAGGGCCCTTAAAAATATCTCACGTGAACTGAATATTATGTGCCGCTCTGGCCCCCTTAGGACACCACAAGCTATGATCTGCCATTCCTGCCATTTCCTTGGAATATGATGCTGCGGCAGCACTACTCTCTAGGGTGACCACGTATTAGATCATCCAAACCAAGTCAATTTTGATAATGAAATACAATTTTAACAATTACACCAGGGCAACGAGTGTTAACTGGAATGTTATGGGCAAATAGAAAAATATATGGTTACCATTTCATGGTTGATTCCCTTAGTGTTGTCATATTCCAAAGCCACAAAGTGTTTTTTTAAAAAAAGTGGACATTATACTTTGTCATCAGCACCCAAAAACTGTGGGTCCTGGCTCACAGTAACTATTTAATGTCTTCCCTGCATCTGATTATTTTCAAGAACTTAGACCTAGGTTCATGAAGTCAGGCAACAATCCCTGGAATTCCTGTCCTGGAATTCAAGCTGATAATATATTTCTAATTTGAGGCACAGTGAATCCCATTAACATAATGGAATTGTGGGCTAAGGATAGAAACGGATGATAAGGAATCTTCGTGAAAGGTTATGGTGAACTTTAGGAATACTGAGATCTGATGTCTAATTAGAGTATATTTAGAGTTTTTTTTTCCTTTTCTGCATTATCATTACTTTATATCTTACTCAAATCTTCAGTTAGTAAGTAGACTCTTAGAGCTAGCTGTACTTCAGGAAATAAAGGGCAAATCTGTGTATCAGAGGAAACAAACTGGACAAAGAATTACATCAACATTTAAAACACTGAAGAACAGGCAGAAATGATTAGCAGCGAAGCCTAAAAAGCTGCTTCGAAAAAAAATTGATCAGATATAATCCAGAGCCTCTAAAGATGCCCCTCTAAACACCTGTCAGAAATAATGTAAACAAGACAAAATACAAAATAGAAATCCTGAAGCAAATGTGATAGCAGGTAATACCCCCAAAATAAATGCAACATTAAAATAAAAATTAACACATAATGGATGAAAACATGAAGCTTGAAAATATGATCAAGAAAAATATAATTAGAAAAGTTACAAAAATAACTTTAAAAGCTGGGGGCTACAATAACTGAAGAAATAAGGTAAATAACAGAAAAATATTACAAGTTAAAACCACCTAAAATGTAGGCCCAGCATTCCCCAGTAAGAAACTCTTATTGGATCGGCAATACATGTCATAAATAGGGAACCAATGGGACAGAGGAAAAACAGCAGCTTTACTTTCATCAATGAATGATTTGACTTGGAAGTTATTTACATTTAATTTTCAAAGAGCATTAAAAAATAGTTATTTGATTCCAAGTCTAAGGCAGTTAAATCCCATGTATAAAGCCCATGTATAATAAGGTCCTTGGAAAGAAGACTGCTGAACTCAGAATAATAATATAAAGCCTCATAGTGAGAGAAGAACAAAAAGTTATAAAAATGACACTGCTCCAGAATTAAAAAGTTTAGGAGTATAAAGCTACCTATACAGAGAACAGTCCACTATACATAGTTTAACGTTTAACAGTCCACTATACATAGTTTAACGTTTAACAGTCCACTATACATAGTTTAACAGTCCACTATACATAGTTTAACTATACATAGTATACATAGTTAAATTATTTTAGTAATCATAATATTGGAAAACCAGAATTCTGAGTTATAAAAAAATCTCAAACTTGGCTCGGCACCCGTAGCACAGTGGTTACGGTGCCAGCCACATACACCGAGGCTGGTGGGTTCAAACCTAGCCAAGGCCAGCTAAGTGACAATGACAACTGCAAGAGAAAAATGGCTGGGCATTATGGCGGGTGTCTGTCATCCCAGATACTTGGGAGGCTGAGTCAAGAGAATCATTTGAGCCCAAGAATTTGAGGTTGCTGTGAGCTGTGATGCCACAGCACTCTACCGATGGTGACATAGTGAGACTCTGCCTAAAAAAAATCTCAAACTTAATTTAATTCTGTCTTTTAAAGAAAGTAAAGAACTATGAAATCAGTTTTGGGGGCAGCACCTGTGGCTCAAAGGGGTAGGGCACTGGCCCCATATGCCACAGGTGGCTGGTTCAAACCCAGCCCCAGCCAAAAACAGCAAAAAAAAAAAAAAAAGAAATCAGTTTTGAGGCCAGGTATGGTAGCTCACACCTGTAACCCTAGCACTCTTGGAGGCCAAGGTGGGAAGATCACTTGAGCTCAAAAGTTCCAGATCATGACGAGAAAGAGTGAGACCCTATCTCTACTAAAAATAGGGGAAAAAACAGCCACATGTTGTGGCAGGTGCCTGTAGTCTCAATTACTTAGGAGGCTGAGACAGGAGAATCCTGTGAGCCCAGGAGTTTGAGGTTGCCATGAGCTAGGCTGATGCCACAGCACTCTAGCCTTGGGCAACAGTGAGACTCTGTCTCAAAAAATAAGTAATTTTTTTTAAAAAGAAAGAAACTGGTTTTGAAAATAATTTTATCAAAAATCAAGGGGGAAAAAAAGATATTAACTTGTCTGGAAATCTCCGTATTATGCCATCCCTCCACTCGCCCTCAGTCGAGCTCTTCAAAAACAAAAGCAATAAGAAGAGAAAACAAACAACAACAAAAAGTCATTGATTCTTAAAACACTTAAATTTATTTATTTACTTATTTTCATTGGTACTGTATCAGAATATGTTGGAGCTTTAGAGCTTTGAGAGAGGAATTTGAAACAGCAGCGAGAACTATTTGTTTTAGTTTTCTAATTGATTTCCACCTTGTGATTATACTATTCCTTGACCCCTTATAATTTACTTGTTAAAAACTTTTCTTCTCAGTAGGTATTTTACTGCTTCTTTCACATCCTTGTTTCTGAGGCTATAGATTAAAGGATTCATCATGGGAGTTATCACACCATAGAACATGGATATAAGTTTGTCAGTAGCATCCAATTCATCTAAATTAAGCGTCTCTTTAGACTTGGGCTTCATGTACATGAACAGGATGGTCCCATAGAATATTATAACCACAGTCAGATGGGCTGAGCAGGTAGAGAAGGCTTTGCTTCTCCCCTCAGAAGAGCGGATCTTGAGGATGCTGGTGATGATTAATGTGTAAGAGATAATGATTAATAATAAAGGAGTCAATATGAATAATGTTGTGGCCACAAGCATGATGAACTCATTGCCTGAGATGTCAGCACAGGCCAATTTCATGACAGCCAGAATTTCACAGGAGAAATGATTTATGACGTTATTCTGGCAGAAAGGCAATTGTATTACAAATACTGTTTGTACTGCAGAGTTAACTATTCCTATGATCCAGGACCCAGCTGCCATGGGCACATAGGAATGCTTGCTCATGATGGTAGGATATCTCAGAGGGCTACAGATGGCCACATAGCGGTCAAAAGCCATCATACCCAGGAGCACACACTCTGTTGTCCCCATAGCCAAGCCAAGGAACATCTGCACTGCACAGCCAGAGAAGGAAATGGTCTTTCTCTCTGAGAGGAAGCTCACCAGAGTAGAGGGAATGGAGGTGGTGGTGTAGCAGATGTCCAAGAAGGAGAGGTTGCCCAGGAAGAAGTACATAGGGGTGTGAAGGTGAGAGTCCAAGATGCTGATTAAGATGAGGGTACCATTACCCAGAAGGATGACCACATACATTGCTAGGATCAGCACAAAAAAGAGTAACTCAAGCCTTGGGTAACCAGAAAGCCCTTTCAGAAAAAATTCTACCAGGATTGTCTGGTTTTCCTGTTCCATTTTACCATCTCTTTTCTATCTGTAAGGCAAGGCATATTAAGACAAATATTTATTTTACTATGATTACTTTCAAACATGTACCAATACACAAGTACCATACTTCCAGAGAAAAAAATAAAATAAAGAAAGGGCAAGACCAAACAAAAAAAAAAAGAAGGCAGCAAAGAAGACAAAAAAGAGGAAGAGAGGAAAGTATGAATGGAGAGAAGGAAGGGAAGAAGAAATTAACATGTTTCATGAAATGCTCAATATGCCATTTAATTCATTTAATCTTATCACAGTTCTGGGCAAGGGCTATTATTATCCACATATTTCAGATGAATAAATCAAAGCAGAAATCTTTAGTATATTTGACCAAAAATAGATAGTGTGTGTGTGTGTGTGTGTGTGTATAGGGAATGGCACATAAAACTAAACCTTCCTTGCTGATGCCTAAGCTTTTTGTCATATTGTAATCACATACATAAATTAGAGATTCTAATAAAAATGAGAATTACATTATGTGTAACTGAATAATATACCATTTTTATTGGCTATAAATCACTACACAATAGACCAATGCTCTTGTCACACCTTGAAATTTTATTGCTATGTTTATTGCCTGTCTTGCCCAGTAGAATGCAAACTTCATAAGGGTGGATACTTACTCTTGTTTATTTTTACACTTCCAAGAGCTAGACTAGAGTGGGCACAGAAGCAGGTGTGCAAAAACATTTGCTGGATTAAAGAGTAAAAATCAAAGACAAAATATTTACTAACATTTCTTACTCTGTGACAATCCTCTACTAATTGTTTTCTTTGTACCTTACCTAATTTAGTCTAAAAAGCAACTATATGAGGTAATTACTGTTTTTATTTATGTCACCATTCCTCTTATATAGAGGGGGGGAAACAGCCATGGAAAAGTTACATAATTTGCTTAAAGTCAATTTCATATACTTAAATAAATGATAGAGCCAGGACTTAACCCAAAACAGTATAACTGCAGAATTCAAGTCCCTAACATTCATTCTACAGAGAGTATTTAGTTCATAGGCTAGATTACCTTATAATCTGATTGATGAAACTAACACTTCAAAAAAATGTGATTAATTAGAAAGAAGCCAGATTTTAATGTAGTGATTTGAGAGCAGTTGATTTTGATACTTTATATTTTGCTAGAACATTATTAATATCTACAGCAAAAAATGTTTTGTCATAAAATTTCATTTAATCCTTATATTCTTACGTCCTCCCTTATATGTACATATGATAAGTTCTCTTATTTTCTATTACTCTTCCTGTCTAATTTTTTTCTCTATTTGGCAAACAAGTCAAATATTAAAGGCCTTTTCTTATATTATGGGTCTTTTTTAAAAAGCAACAAGAAGAGTTTAGGATAGATTTATTCTCTTTCCTTTTTTTGTGTTTCATTAAATTGTTTTTGTATTCATAACTTTCTTTAGCATATTTGTATTTTTTTTAATTTCACAAACTTAGGAGAAAAATTCATTATTTTTAATTCTTAATATTTCATCTTTCTCCTTTACATAGCTCTAATTAAGGTACTTCCGCTTATTTTGTTTTATTATAGATTTAGATTTTGAAGAGAAATGTTCTTTTCATTAGTATCTAGACAATTTTTTGTTTACCTTTTAATTTCTTCTTTCATCTAAAGTTACTAGGTGTGTGTTTCTTCCTAAATATCTAATTTAGTTATTAGATATTTTTGTTCCAATTTCATTATTTATTTCCAAATTTTATTTTATTATGATAACATGACCCATAATTCTCTAGTTATGGACTTTTGGATAGCCAATTACATGATACATAGTATAAATGTTAACAAAAATGTGATTTCTTCTTCAAAAAACTATATAGTTTCATATGCCCACACAAAACAGGCACACAGTATACATACAATCAAGTTTATAAATGTATTACAAATATTTGAAATAATTACTTATTTTTTTCCAACTTGATTAGATCAACTCTATATTAAATATTTGTAATCAAATTCTTCTTGTATATCTAGGGTCATTTTGTATTATATGTTTAGCATCTGTGTTATTTAGTTTATGCCGGTATTTGGTTAATACATCTTATTCATAAATTTTAAGTGTTATCATTAATTGATATATTTTTATCCTATCCGGCATTTTAAAGTTTAATTCTACTTTTATGATATTGATGTTACACTTCTGCTTTATTTTGCCTGCTATCTCTTTGTACATTTTTTTTATTTTTAACTTCTCTTTCTCACTTTTTTTAAAGTATACTGCTTATAAACATATTACACCATAGGGATAGAGTAACCAAAACAGCATGTCACTGGCATAAAAATAAATACACAGCTCAATGGAACAAAAAAGAGAAGACAGAAATAAAGTCATATACCCACAAACAATTGATCTTCAACAAAGCAAATAAAAAAATACACTGGGGAAAGGATACCAGGATGAACTCTTCTGGACATTGGCCTAGGCAAAGAATTTATGACTAAGGCTCCAAAAGAAAATGCAACAAAAACAAAAATAAACAAATAGTACTTAACTAAAAAGTTTCTGTACTGCAAAAGAAGTAATCAAAAGACTATTCCTCCTACAAAATGGGAGGAAATATTTACTCCAATCCTTTGGATGCCAGTGAACCAGGTGGCAGAACAAAAAAATCATCTCAAAGATATGCCTTTTATAAAGTTCAATTCACTACATAAAAAATAAAAATTTAATAAGGTGCCAGTATGTTTCAAAATTTAAAATACTTGGCTGACATTTTTTGATTATTTTATCATCTTTAGAAAGCCTTTCTACATAAGAATTACTCACTATTACCTAATTATGACCTCATGATAGAAAAGCAAATATTCAAAATAGTCATCAATTTTATGTGGAGACATATAAGGATAATGTCTAAGCTAGTCTATTTTTGTCTGTGCATTACTTTAGAAAATTATCTTTTCCAGATCTCAGGAGATTATATTATACACATATTGAGTTGTTTAAAATTTTCCAAATTGGTCACAGTATTCTCTTCACATGTTTCTCGGTTGAGTCCCTAGCACCGTACCTAGCATACAGTTCAACTGGTTCACAGTTGACTGAACCAGATAGACCTGAGTTATTGCTAGGGAAGGATAGCTAAACTATTGTTTATTATGACTTCTACACTAAAGGACACACAGTTTGCTACCTAATCAATTAGCTACAGTAGTTGACACAGTTTCCAGTACTTTGTAATGCATTAAAACCCTGCACACTGACAAAAAGTAATGTGCATGTGCTGTACAAATTCCTTTCAGTTTGTTGCACAGTTGTCTTTGCGAACTGCTTCTTTGGTCTCTTAGCTCTTCCCCCCCCCCACTCTATCTCAGTGACTAGTCTCTTAAATTTCTTTTCCAATACTCAAAGTCTCTCCAGAGTGAAAAGAAATATTTTCAAACTGATTTAACCCATCAGTCCAAGTCCTATATATATTTTGTATAAAATTTGTTTCTTTTTTTCTTTCAGTAACTTACCTCCAAACCAGAAGTTGCCTCTCTTTCTAGGTCATAATAGCAACAGATATTTTTAATGTACTTTTCTTCTTACAGCCTATCTTCACAGCTCCTCATTAGTAACTGAACCTCCAAAGAGGCCACCACAAGTCTATAATCATTTTGTCATAGGAATTCATCAACTAGTTGACATTTATAGAAACATGGTGTTATGGGTGTGATTACTAGGATAAGAAATTAAATTTCTCCGCTTCAGATAAAATATCATTAAATTCCTCTGGTTTAAAAATAGATAGAAAATCAATATCTTGGGATTGAATTTTAGGAATAGGGCAAATGAAACGTGACCTTGAAGCCCAGGTTGAAATACTGCCCCATTGTGGAGACCCGCAAATTCCTAAAGAATCTGCTCCAGCCTTTAGGAAACAATTTACATATTCTGCTTTTAAGGACTCCTCCAAACCTCTATGCACAACTGTAAATTGCCTCAGAGATAAAATATGTATAAAACTTATGAAACTTCAGAAATAAAGCCCTGAAGACCTAATTACAGGAGACCTATTACTCTACTTCATAAACAAAATCAGAGGGAGCTCCTATGTTCACATCAAAATTTCCCCAGCTGAATTTTTATCTCTCACATGCATACACACACACACACACACACACACACACACCCCTTTTTGAAAGTATAACTATTTACTCAACAAATATGTTTTCCATTTACTTTATAGATTTAGCTTATAGTGAAAGTTGACTTTTAGAGTAAACATGTATTTACAGGTGGTCCTTACAATGCAGTGAAAATGAAATCGTACTTCAAGCGCCCACACAACCACTCCAATTTTCACTTTCAGTACAATAGTCAATAAATTACATGGGCTGCTCAGCACTTTCTTATAGGCTTTGAGTTACATGATTTTGCCCAACTAAAGGCTAACATTAAGTCTTCTGAGCACATTTAAAGTAAGCAAGGCTAAGCTATGATGTTCACAAGTCAGGTATATTAAATACATTTTCAACTAACAATAAGTTTATTGGGACATAATCCCCTCATGAGTTGAGGAGTATCTATATTTTCACTAATTCTGACACTAATACATACTGTAAAGAAAAAGAAACAAAGAATGGAAGAAAGGGAGGGAAGAGAGAGAAGTAGAGACAGAAAGAAGGGGAAAAGATAAGGTGAGAAAATAAAGATATCCTTGAGTAATACATAAAGGTATAAAAAACAAAGCCAAAAATAAATTATATTTGAATAGCCTAGTGAAAACTGAAGCTCATAAAGGAGCCTGATCTTAGTTACAAAACTGTAACTTGGGTTAAAATCATTTGCCCCTTACTCCTATGTCCAAACTAAGGGACTTTAAGGCTGGACATTACTGAATACTTTTTTTTCTTCATTTTTTAAAATTTATTTTTACCAAAAGAATTTCTAATTATTTTATTAGGGTGGAATTCTAGAAATGAAATGAGTGGATTAAAATTAATGAATTTTGAAAGGATAACACTAATTTATGGTCCCACAATTGTTATGGTGTTGCTAATTTATTTTGTTCTTATTAATATAGTTGTCAAAAGTTTAGATTTTTTATCTAATATAAAGAACTTCTTA